ATAGTTGATCCAAGAAGAATGAAGTCCTTCACAACTTCAATCTTTTCTCCATTGATAAAAATGTTGTTTATTGGTCCAGTGGTAAGGATTTTTGTTTTCCTGACATTGAGATGCAACCCATACATACTGAAGGCTGTACTCTCTGATCTTCATCAGTCCTAGATCTTCTGAATTTATGTTCTGTTTTGTTTTCCCCCAGGATTGACAAAGATAGCCCATATCTCTTGGAGGAACCAATCTTGAAAGCCATTGCCAAAAAACACAGTCGAACCCCAGGCCAGGTTGCCTTGCGCTACCATCTGCAGCGGGGTTTGGTGGTTTTGGCCAAGAGTTTCAATGAGAAGAGGATTAAAGAGAACTTCCAGGTAAAGCCCATATTGTCTCTCCAGAGTGAAGACTGGCATTGTGTTGAAGACAATCTTCCTTGTCCTTCAGCATGCACACATATTCTCTTGAATTTCTGAACATGTCTTCCTGCATGCTGTTGGGGAAGGGAAGCTTGATTGGGTATAGAGTCATGGATGATAAGGCTTAAACTTTCCAGTCTCTTGGCATGGCTTACTAGTTGTGTGGCAGCACATTTATTTTTACATATTTTTTAGGAGTCCATCCACTCAGTCAGTAAAGCATTTTAAGAACTTGGATTCCTCTCCATCACTTTTTCTACCTCACAAATTCCTGTTTATATTTCAAGATCACTCTTTGCTAAATCTCAGGACACCTTAGCACAACTGCTAACCAACATAACACTTGAGCATGGTTCTGTTCATCCCTCTTTTCTCACTGTACTCAAATCGTTAGCTTACATGCCAGTATGCTCTCTAGACTGTGAGACCCTGCATTGCAGTGACTCCTGCAGGGCCATCTTTTATCACTTTGATCCAGGCATGTCTCCCGGCAGGTAACAACCTACATATATGATTTTATAACCTAACCACTGATCTCAGGGACATGTAAAACATGCTTTGTTTGGCATAAGCCCATGCATGTATAACTAGGACCCTGGTAGTAATACATTTGATTTACCTTAATACTTTATCAAATACAGGTCATCCTCATGTGACAAATGTTCGACTTATAGACAATTCATACTTGCTCTCTACTGTTGTATAAATTTCCCCTTACTTTGGTTTTTACTTTTTACTTTTTATTGTGAATTGGATGAAGAGTTAAAGAGAAAATCCATTTTCCATTCAACAATTCATGCACATCTTGTTTCATGTCATTGATTGCAGTGCCCACAGTGTCCTATCACTTGTCCCATTACCTCCCTATGTTTCCTGTTTCCATACCTCCCTCTTTCCTAATCCTTCCTGCCTTCTGAATTTTGTTCTTTGACAAATGCTACCCTTTTGATGTCAAACGATTGATTATTCTAAGGAGTGCATTCCTCCCTACTGTTGCTGTTCACATTATACATCTGTCTATGGTTTGGCTGGAGTCCTGGTGTGGCATTGTGGGCTTATGCACTGGACAGCAAAGTCGGTTTGAACCGCAGAGTTAGCAATTCAAGCTCACCAGATGCTCCTTGGAAACCCTATACAAGGTCACTATGAGTTGAAACCAACTCGACAGCACATAACAAAATTGTTTGGCTGAAAATTGAGTGATGGGAAGGAGTCCAGTTTCAGGCCTGAAAAATGACTAAGAGTCATACTCTTGCAAGTTCCCCTAGTCTCTAACCAATCAATAAGTCTGGTTATTTTTATGAATTTTTGTTTTATTCCACATTTTTCTCCCACTCTATCCAGAACTTTTTAACGTGAACCTTTTCAGAGTGGTTGGTAATGGTCCTTCCCAGGCAAGTACACATGGAAAGCAGTGGTTTACAAATTGCTTTCCTTGTCTCTGTCCCTCTATAAAGTTCTTATAGTTCCTCCTCAGGAGACTGCCTTAGGAGAAAGTTTGATGATTTTTTTTTTTTCCCTTTTCAGGTTTTTGACTTTCAATTGTCTCCTGATGACATGAAAGCAATTGATGGCCTCAACAGAAATTTTCGATATGTTAAAATAGAATTGTAAGTGATTTTTTTTTTAATGTTTTATTGTGAATTATGTGATAGTTTACATGGGAAAACATTAGCTTTACATTCATCCTATCATATATCATTTCATTGCCATGGTTACACTCCCCTCCATGCATCATCAACCAACCAAAGTGTACACCCTACAAGCTTGTCCCCCAGTCGTCAGCACAGAGCCCCTCTCCCTCTCTGGGTCTAAAGTCTCCAGCTGCTCCATCGCTCCATGTCATCATCTCTGCCTCCATCTCTGACTTCACTGCTTCTCTGTGTAGGATCCCACTCTCCGCTCTTCTCCCTTGATGCTCCCAGGGACCTCCGCTCCTAGACTACAAAGTTAATCACTCCCCTCCTTGCTACAAAACATCTACCTTTACATTGTAAGTGACTTTTGTCATTGTTTTCCACTAGTTGTTTTTAGTAGGAAACAGTTTAACAGAGAAACTTCTTCTTGTTGTCAAGTGCCATTGGTTCCAACTCATAGTGACTCTGCGTCAGGTTTTCAAGGAACGGGATTGTAGATTTGAACTACTGACCATTGTTGTTTTTAAGAGCAGTTGAGTCAGTTGAGTCAGTTTCAACCCATAGCGATGCTGTATGGGGTTTCCAAGCAGCAGCTAGTGAGCTTGAACCACCAATCTTAGGTTCAAAGTGACTTTGCAGTCCAGTGCATTAACCACAGCACCACACCAGGACTCCTAGGTTTCTCTAAATCAGAAGACAAGTCTGATTTGGAGCATAGGAGTGAGGCAGAGGATTCCTTGTATCTCTTCAACCAGAGACTTCCTATAGTGCTCAATCTCTGGCTAACAGAATTTGCTTTTTATTTATTTATTTATTTTTAATGAAAGGAAAAAACTAGGTTGAGACACAGACCCAGAGAGGAGAAAATTCTGGGGTCTCCTGATGGAGTTTCTATAGGCCTAGGTGTTATTTGTTCTGGATGCCCAATTCAGAAATAGTTCACGTAGATCCCAAAGCAGCTGGGGAATCAAGGTACTTCCATCCCAGAGGGCAACAAGGTGAGAATCCTTTCATCCAGGACCAGCCAGAAGCAGCTCTGTAGCTCTGGATCAGGCCACATCCGATTCCAGATGCTGGAGTTGCTGCTACTAGCTCCCATCTCACTTTGTTGCAGCTCCAACAGCCTGGAGAGAAGGAAAATTGCTAGAAGTATATGTAGGTTGGGGCTGGCCACACCTCCTCACCACGATAAGTTGGGATACAAGAAAAAATTTCACATTTTTCTCTCTGCCAATGTATGGTATGCCTTTGTGCCACAAACTGCCTCTGCCTTCAAAGCTGCCCGCAAAAGTTCAAGGTGGCTGCACTGAGCCTGGCCAGCTAGCCCAGATCACCTGTCTCTTTCCTAGTCCCAGTAAATTGTATTCAGCTGCTTCTAGTTAGCGCTAGTTCAGGGCTGGCCAGTGCTGACTCTGCAAATTTGGAGCAGGACTCACCTGAATTCAGGGCCCTGGGATTTGACATAGAAACCAAACATAGAATTTTACATAGAAACCAGTTCTATGTAAAATTGTCTAAATTTATGTTACTGTGAATTCTCTTTATGCTCTTACCACATTGTCTAGTGTATTACCAACAGGGCTGATTAGCCCATTTGTCAGAATACAGTGCCTACAGTCTTTGATTCTTTTAGGGGCCCCAGAAAATATTTTATCTTTCATTTATATTTGAAATCAGAAGACAAAAATGAATATAGTAACAACGAATCTATCCTGTTTTACATTTGTCTTGAAACCGAACAACTGTAAAACATAATTTTAATATTTTTTATAGAGGGAACCATAAAGGCAATAGTGCCTGGGATCCATTAAAGTCCTAATACAGCCTGGTGTCCACTTCTGTCTAAAGTGTCCAGGGGCCTTTCTAATAACCATGGCATTCCTTTACCCAAATGCCACCTAGTTCTTCAACTTTTATTTCTTCTAAAGGGAATCATATGACCTTCTTTTCTGAGCAAGCCTCCCATTTCCTCAGAAGCATTCTTACCAAGCTGAATTGTTAATGTTAATTAAATTAATTAACCATAGTATGTTAATATGGGGCTTCCAACTTGTAGCTGGTGGATTTGAACCATGACCTTGAGGTTAGCAGTCTGGTGCTTATCCTATAGAGTCATGCATTATGAATTATATTGAAGAACACTGAGTTACATTTTGTAAGAATGGTTTAGTGATGTTTCTTATCTCTTGAATAGATCAGAAATGTGTTAATGGAGGAACCCTGTATTATTTAGGGTGCTCAGTACATATCTGTTGAATTAATGAGTGGAAAAGAGCAACACACTCCTTTCCACCATCATTCTCATCATCTAAGAACAATGCATACTTGGAGGCTTGAGTGACCAAAACATTTTATCCATAGTTCTCATACCTTCTTATAATTTATAATATAAAGTAAACCACATGCTACGTTGGTGCTTATGTGCATGGAACAGTGGGAATTGGATAGGCTTGTAGGGATTTGCACATGAACGAGGGAACTTGTAATTGTGCATTTGAGAAATAGAGATAGGGATGCGGTCACCAAAATACAGCATGCAAATATCTCTGTTACTACAGAACAACTTTGCAGGATCAAAACTTCAGTCTCTGAATTATTCCAATGAGTAAATTCAGTTTTCAGCCTATCTTGACTGAGCATTCAGAGAAAACGTCTTCTGAGAGCGTGGAAATACAGTTGATAAATTGTTATCGTCTTTGTCTTTTCAGTGCTATTGATCACCCTTACTATCCATATTCTGAAGAATACTGACCACAAACTATCAACTACTATAAGCATTTCTACCATGCTTTCCGGCTTCTGTCGGATAAGGAGATGAGTTCTGTATTGCATTAAGATGATTAGAAAGCAGTATATGTAGTTTACATTGATTTACGCTCGTTTCTTTTATGAAATAATAAAGACTTGGCAATAAGGTGTTTATCCTGATTATTTAAAAATGCGTACTAATTACAGAAAACTGGAAAAATAAAAGGGATGGGATAGAAAATCAAAGTAATCTACAATTCTCCTGTTCAAAATACAGCCACTCCTCACTTAATCTACATGGTTAGGTTCCAAAGACTGGTCGTTATGCAAAAATTTGTAATATGCAACAATGGAGGATAACAGTATCAGATCATAAAATAGAAGAGGAGTACATCATTACATAACTGTCAAATTACATTACTACACAAATGCCAAACTCCTGAAAATCATGTCCCAGCCAAGCTGATACATAACCTTAACTATCACAGCCAGTGTTAGTGCCTCATACCTCGGTGTTCATTACTGCCAGACCTATGCTGTTAATGCACAAAATAGTTGGACAGTAGTTTTTTTCATTATTGCTGTAAATGTGAAATGTCAGATAGTGAGATAGTTGGTAAGTAAGGAGTAGGTGTACTCATAATTTGGTGCATTTTCCTCTTGAGACTTTTCTGTGTGCAAATATGCATATAAGAGAACTCCAACCTAAAGAAAACAATTGAATCTAAAGAAAACCACCACTTTTTCACTACCATTTCAGGGATTCACGTGGCTTCCTTCCTAGTGCTAATTTTGTTCTAAATCATTTGATCATGTCTCTCAGATTAATTCCATTGCCTGTATGATGTGATCATTTTAGGAAGATACCTATGGCACAATCTTGGCCCAGGAGAGGAAATGTGTGGAGACCCTTTGGGATAGTTTCTCACACTTCTAAAAGAAAGTTTTTAAAAGAGGTGCCCTTTCTTCTTCAAGCAGGCATTATTATTTTATGATGCAATGTCTGAAATTTCTGTGGCTATCTCCTACCAGCCTGAGGATATTGCTAACACAGAAGAGGGAAGAGCCAAGAGAATTCCAGAGAAGATCTGAGTCCCAGTGGACTATACCCATGCTTATAATTCCTCTGGAGTTTTTATTATAGAGACAGTATCACTCTTCTGTGATACTTAGGCCGATTTGAGAAATCTTTTTAAATTGGTTTTGTCCTAACTGAAACAACCATCAAAGCTAACATTTTTATCTTCCAGCCTCACTTCCTCCCTCCCCAAATTTTGTACCCAATCAGAAGCATTCAGAATAGGAGAAAACTACAATTATAGCATGACAGCATAAACTCTCAGAATTTTCTTGATTATACTGTTGATTATTGTACTGGGTGGTATTAAAATGAAAAAATAATGCATATGAGGTAGTTTTCCTAAGAAGGGGCAAGTATTTCTTTTTTTACATACATTGAGTCACAAGTGGGGCTCTTACATTGTTCAAGCAGATCAGACTCATTGACATAGAAGTAAGGTGGATATTACTTAAAATTCCAGTAGTTACTAATTTCATTTAACACCATGTGTAGAGAATCCTGGTGTGGCGCTGTAAGATAAGCACTGTATTGCTAACCTAAACATTGGTGGTTCAAACCTACCAGCCACTCCTTGGAAACTCAGTACAGGGTAGCTTGAGTCGGAACTGACTCGACAACATTTAACAACAACACCAAGTAGAAAACTTCATAAATATCCCCCTTTAAACCTATGTGTTCTGTTTTTCCAAAGTTTTCCTCAAAGTGACATCTTTGCTCTTTACCACCTTTGTTGCTAAATACTGTCTTGTCATTTTTGATTCACAGCATCCCTGTAGCCAAGAAGTGGCTGGTGGGTTTGAGCCACCAACCTTGTGGTTCAAAGGAACCCTTCAGTTCAGTGCATTATCCTGCAGCACTACAAGAGGTCTTTTACAGCAAATTGGCCTAATGCAATAAATACGTCATTTGGTATCTTGATTGCCGCTTCCATGAGCACTGACTATGCACCCAAGCACAATGAAATCTTTGACAACTTCAATCTTTTCTCCATTTAAAATAATATTATTTATTGGTTTAGTTGGGAGGACTTTTGTATTCCTTATCTTGAGGTGCAGTCCATACTGAAGGTTATAGCCTTTGATTTTTGTCAGTAAAGATTGTTAATGAATCTTCCTCCAGGCCTGGTGCTATGTTCTTCTTCATATAGTCCACTTCTCTGATTATGTGCTCAGCACACAGATTAAATAAGTATGGTGAAAGGATACAACCCTGGGGCACACCTTTCCTGATTTTAAACCATTTAGCATCCCCTTGTTCTGTTCTAATGACTGCTTCTTTGTCTATGTCCAGGTTTCTCATGAGCACAAATAAGAGTTCTGTAATTCCCATTCTTCCCAATGTTATCCAGGCTGCCATGATCCACACAGTTGAATGCCTTTGCATAGTCAATAAAGCACAAGTAAACATCAAGGTTGGAGTCCTGGTGTGGTACTGCAGGATAATGCACTGGACCACAAGTTCAGTTTTAGGTTGACGATTCAAACTCACCAGCCACTCCTGAGAAACCCTGTATAGGGTCACTATGAGTCAGTACAAACTCGATGGTACTTAACAACAACAAGGTGTAAGAAATTATTTTACTCATTATTCCTTCTAATACTAAAATCTAAGCAAATTTGACCAGTGTTTGATATCTGTGTTCCTTAAGAATCACTAAGGAACTCAATAGGATGAGTGTAAAACCAATGTTCTCCCATGTGAACGATCACTCAATTCACAATAAAAGCTTTAAAAAAAAAAAAAATCATTAAGGAGCTCTGGTAGCACAATGGTTAAGCATAGGATTGTTAACTAAAAGGTCAATGGTTTGAACCCATCAATCATTCTCTGGGGGGAAAGATGTGGCAAACTGCTTCCAGAAAAACGTTAGCCAATGAATCCCATGGACTAGTTCTACTCTGTTCTATAAGGTCACTACGAGTCAAACTTGACTCCGTGGCATTTAACAAAAACAACAATAAAAAATAATTAGTTAGATATATTCCAATATTGCAGAATGTCAGAGTAAGAAACTCAATGTTCTCATCCTCTCATAGAGAGGGGGATTTAAAAAGCAAAGAAAACGATAGTATTTGCTTTGTTGGAACTCTTGGGTGTAGTCAGGAAATCACTGAAGCAGGCAGAAGTCTTGCCAAAAGTATAGGAAGACTCTAAGACACCTTTTGATTCTGACTTGAACAAAATCCCCACCACACTTGGTAGCAAGCAAGAAAGGGCTACTAGATTTCCAATTTGGGATCTTGTCCCCTGGCTCTGGAATGAGCAGACCTCACTATATTAACAAAGTAAGGTGGTTGTCTTTTCAAATCAATTGGGTGACTACCTAAAGGACTAAAGCAAAATCTGATCTCTGTTTTGTCCTTCTTAGAGGTCACTCAGACTAGAAGAAAGTCATATAGAGCTAGGTATACTGTAGGGTGAACTAGAGGCCATTGTCACGTGGGGTAAATGAGGGTGATCCAGAGGCCAGAGTCAAAACACTGGTACTATTTCCTTAGGAAATGGAGGAATTTAAAGGCACCCAGGAGAGTCACGCTCATTAACAGCTTACAATATGCAGATGATACAATCTTGCTTGTTGAAAGTGAAAAGGACTTAAAACATTTATTGATGAATATCAAAGAGCACAGTCTTCGGTATGAATTACATCTCAATGTAAAGAAAACAAAAATCCTCACCACTGGACCAATGAACAACATTCTTATCAACGGAGAAAAGATTGAAGTTGTCAAGGACTTCATTCTTCTTGGATCAACTATCAACAGTCATGGAAGCAGCAGTCAAGAGATCAAATGATGTATTGCATTAGGCAAATCTGCTGCACAAGACCTTTTTAAAGTGTTGTTGAAGAGCAAAGATGTCAGTTTGAGGACTAAGGTGCACCTGACCCAAGCCATGGTATTTTCAATAATCTCATATGCATGTGAAAGCTGGGCAGTGAATAAGGAAGACTGTAGAAGAATTGATGCTTTTGAGTTGTGGTGTTGGAGGATAATGCTAAAAGTGCCAGGGGCTGCCAAAAGAACCAACAGATCCATTTTGGAAGAAGTGCAGCCAGAGTGCTCCTTGGAGGCCAGGATGGCCAAACTTCATCTCTCATACTTCAGACATATTGTCAGGAGGGACCAGTAGCTGGAGAAGGATATCGTGTTTGGCAAGGTGAAGGGTCAGAGAAAAAGAGGAAGACCCCCAACAAGATGTATTGGCCAAGGGGCAGCATCGATGAACTCAAGTGTGCCAACAGTAGTGAGGTTGGCCCAGGATCAGGCAGTGTTTCATTCTGCTGTGTATAAGGTTGCTATGAGTTGGTACTGACTCGATGGCACCTAATAAGTGTGGTGAAAGGGTACAACAACAACAGGAGAGTCACACACAAAAGCTGAGCTTACCCTGAAAAGCCTGCGGTAACCCTAAATGTTTTCTTGGGTGGATTTCTTGGCACAGTGAATTCCTGAGTAATTATTGTCCCCAAATAGAGTCATTCTGCAAAGACTTCAAGAGTATTTGTTTTCTTCCTCTAAATGGTCTGTCTTCCATTTGTTGTTTCCAATTAAATCATTTGAAAAAATCACTAATGGACTACCACAGTCTTCAACAATAGAAGACAATGGACTATGACTGTCTTCAACAATAGTAAAACAGAGGGAAGGAGAAAGAGAGAGAAAGATACTAACATGATAAAAATGCTTTGTTCACTGTTTCCACTCTTCCACATTTCTGTGCCATAGCTTCTCAAACAGCTGCAGAGGAGCTTCAGTAGAATGCACAGACTTATGGCTCCAGTGGAACCCCACCCCCCCAATGGACACATGACTTACTTGAGCACAAGAAAGGGACACAATATCTAGCTAAGAGATAAGTGGGCTCTCACAGAGTGCAGGAAGGAGCTCCAAGCAAGGATGAAAATCTTCACCAAAGTCTT